GAAGAGCCCATGACCGCGAAGAACGAAGCATACTCGGGGCTGTTCTTGGTCTCGGACATGTCTGCGGGCGGGGCGGGGGGCGAGCTCAGCGGGCCGCGGCGAGGTGAAAACAGCAGACCGACGAGCGGGCGCAGAGGCGAGCGAAGGCGACGCGGAAATACTTTATATGCTGCATAAAATTTCCTTCCTCTCAGAAGGAAATCCAAGCCTCATGAAAACCTTTGGGGAGACCCACCCACTCCCCAAGTAGCTCCTCTCTGTTCACATGTGGTAAACAGATTTATATATATAAAGATACATTTGGGGCTGGGTGTGGTGGAACACCCCTGTGATCCCAGTGGCTTAGGAGGCTGAGACAGGAGGATCTCAAGTTGAAAGCCAGCTTTAGCAATGGCGAAGTGCTAAGCAACTGAGTGAGACCTTGTTTCTAAATAAAAAATACAAAAAATAGGGCTGGGAATGTGGTTCAATCCCCAGTAGCCAAAAAAAAAAAAGATGCACTGTGCATCTTTGATCCTCAGCAACACATAAAATAAAACAAAATTTATTGGCAATTCTGCCCAGAGAGAACCTTATCTCAAACACCTGAGCTAACTGGTTGGCAAATCAGCTGTTACATAACAAAAAGTTGGTGTCCTTTGCTACCAAAAGGAAATAAAAAAATAAAAGGGGGAATAAAACAAATACATACTTTCTAGCAATCAAAAAAGACCAACTGATCAGAACATAGTTTATTAACAAGACAGGGTGTCATGGATACACCATTGATATGGTGGGTGGAGCACAAAGTCTGTCTTAAACTCTGGCCATAGACCAGTAAAGATGTGTTTTCTAGAGATGGTTTATCAAAGGCACCCCGTGGGAGGGCAGTTCCTGATGTAGCTGTCGGAAGAGCATTGCACACCGGTTCCTCTCCTGTGTCTTCCCCAGGGTGTGGTACAGTCTGGCCTGGAAGTAAACGACGTCTCTAATTCGCTCTTTGCAGTCAACTTTTGCAAAATAGTTCTTGGCTTCATTGAGGTTCTCGATGGCGGCCTCCAGAGCTGATAGAGAGTGGGTAAAAGGTCATACACATTTACTCAATATTTTTCTTTTCTTTCCTTTTTTTTTTTGGTACTAGGGATTGAACCCAGGGGCGCTTTACCATTGAGTCACATCCCCAGCCCTTTTTATTTTTTGAGATAAGGTCTTGCTAAGTTGCTTTAGGGCCTTGCTAAATTGCCAAGGCTGGCTTTAAACCTGTGGTCCTCCTACCTCAGCCTGGGATTGTAGGCATGTGCCACCCCATGCCCGCTTGGTAAAGTATTTTTAAAAAATATTTTTAGTTGTAGATGGACGTCATACATTTTATCTATCTATCTGTTTATTTATGTGGTGCTGAGGCTCAAACCCAATTACTCACATGTGCAAGGCAAGCACTCCACCACTGAGCTACAACCCCTGCCCTTCTTGGTAAGGTTTTAAAACAGATTTTAAGCCTTGGAGGTTAAAATTGCCACTCAGTTGCCCCTAACCCTCCTACTAAACATGCAGATGAAAGCACTTTAAAATGCTGTATAAAATTTTAAGGAAATATTTGTGAACACTCAGAACTTACTGTCCCCATTTTAATGTCTTTTCCTCTTCTGAGTCCTAAATTTTAAAAGCTTTCATGAAAATGAGCAATGCCTAACAATCTTTGCACAGTTTCCTACCTTCTGCTTTCTTTGGTGGATCATAGGAAGCTGCTGAAGCCACCTGGCACTTGGCTACTAAGAACATGGCACGGCCTTTGTCCAAGATAGCCCCATCAGCCAGGATGGGCTCGATGGCCATGTGGAGGAGGGTTAAGGCTTGTTCTGGGATTCCAAGGATGAGCTGAAAAAAAAACACCACAGCACTGTACACACCACGCCCACCATGCTGCTGGGAAGAGTGGTTTCTGGCCGTCCTCATGACACTCTAGCTTATTTTCTCCCTGACATATACTGCATTATGGCAGGCACCACACTCCTGCAGTAGGGAGTAGTTATTCACATGTGGAAAAGTTCTGTCTTTACAAAGCTTCAGAATTGATATCCTTTAGATTGGTGATTCTCAGAGTTTGAACTCTTATGAATTACTGGGAGGAGAATAACAACTAAGAAAATCTAACTCAAAAAGTGTAGAGTGAAAGAATGGCAAGGGAATTAAAATAATGAACTAGAAAATAGAAAACATCTATTTAACACAAAAGAACGAAATAATGAAGGAACTGTGGTTCAAAGAAGGTATGATATACAGAAACAAACAGCAAATTAAAGCAAGTCCTTTATTTACATTCAATGACACTGAGTGACAATGAATATAAATGGATTAAATGAATTAAAAAAAATTCACAGAATGGATTTTAAAAATTATCCAACTATATGCTGTATATAAGAGACTCACTTTAAATTAAAAGGCACTAATAGGTTGAAAGTAAAATGACAGAAACATATTCAATGCAAACAGTAACCAAAATAGAACTAAGTGTCTATATTAATAATCAAGCAAAATAACCTAGTTCAAAAACTGCTATAAGAGAAAAAGTCCATTATATGCTCATGAAAGGATCAATTTATCAAGATATAACAACTGTAAACATATATAGTCTGAACATATACAAAATCTAAAAACAGGCAGAACCGGAGGTAGAAATAGACAATTCAACAATAAAAGCTAAAGAGAGCTGGGTATGGTGGTGTACACCTATAATCCCATCTGCTCAGGAGGCTCACGAGTTCAAAACTACCCTTAGCAACAGCAAGGCACTAAGCAACTCAGTGAGACCCTGTCTCTTAAAAAAAAAAAAGAGCTCAGAGTGTGCAATATCTCACTTTTCAATAAAATAGTAGATAGAAGATCAGTAAGGAACCAGACGACCTAAACAGACATCTATCAAGCACATCATCAATGATATCAGAATACAAATTCTCAATTACATATGTAATATTTTCCAGGAGAGACCATATGTTAGGCTACAAAATAACAGTAAATCCCCCCTCCACACACACACACACACACACACTTTTTGATACCAGGGATTGAACTCAGGGGCACTCAACCACTGAGCCACATCCCCAGCCCTATTTTGTATTTTATTTAGAGACAGGGTCTCACAAAGTTGCTTAGGGCCTCACCATTGCTGAGACTGGCTTTGAATTTTCGATCCTACTGTCTCAGCCTCCAGAGCTGCTGGGATTACAGGCGTGCGTCACTGTGGCTGGCACCCCAACATTCCCCTCCTTTCTTTAAATATTTTTATTAGTTGTTCATAGACCTTTCTTTTATTTACTTATTTATATGCAGTGCTGAGAATCGAACCCAGTGCCTCGCACATGCTAGACAAGCCCTCTACCACTGAGCCAAAACCCAAGCCCCCAACCCTTTCTTGTGTGTGGTGCTAGGACTAAACCTAGGGCTTCACTCACACGGCAGACAAACAACTCAGCAAACTTAAAAAGAATGGAATGATGAAACGACTACATGAAATGAAATTAGAAATTAACAGAAGGAAATTAGGAAATTCAAAAATACCTGGAAATTAAACACACCCTTAAATAACCAAAGGAAAACTCACAAGACAAATTAGAAAATGCTCTGAGACATATAAATACACAACTTAACAACAAACAACTTTTGAAATTTATAAGATGAGGTAAAAATTCATGGGATGCAGTTTTCAGGGAAATTTTTAACTGTAAAGGCACACATTACAAAACAAAGATCAAGTAAGATCTCAAATCAACAAGCTAATCTTCCACTTTAAGAAACTAGCAGGAGTAGAGCAAATTAAACTTACAGCTAATAGAGGCAAGGAAATAATAATGTTAGTGGAGACAAACAAAATAGAGAATTAAAAAGCAAGAGAGAATAAAAGTTCGTCCTTCAGAGATTAGCAAAATCAACAAACTGAGATTGACCAAGAAAAAGGAGGCRGCACTGGGATTGATCCTTAGCACCACATAAAAAACAAACAAATAAAAGATTTACAATGGAGCTTTAAAAAAAAGGGGGGGGGGATTCCGCCTTTTGGGTCCCCTTCTTCCTCTCCGGGGAAGTCTTTTACTTTCACTTCTACACTTTTACTTCCACTCTAAMAAAAAAAAAAAAAAAAGATATCTGAACAGACCTACAGAAAGTAAAGAAATTGGAAGAGGTGGAAAAGAAGGAAGAGGAAGTGGTGGTACAGCAGTAATCAAAGAGGCAAGAAAGGGAAGGAAGAAATCGAATCAATAACCAAAAAGAAGCAGTGACAAGGAAAAGGTAGGAGCCAACTCTGCCAAACTTAAAATAAAGATATTGTGTCCAACTACAACTAAAAAAATTATTTTTTAAAAAAAGGGTTAACATCAATTCTTCTCAAACTCTTCCCAAAAACATAAGAGGAAGACACATTTCCTAACCCATTTTGTGAGGCCATTATTACTTTAATGCCAAATCCAGTGCTGCTGGGTTTGGTTTGCTAGTTTTTTCTTGAGAATTTTTGCATAAATGTTCATATGGGATTTCAAAAAATTTTTTAATATACATTTTTAGTTGTTGATGGATCTTTATTTTATTCATTTATTTGTGTGCAGTGTTGAGGGCTGGGGTTGTAGCTCAGTGGTAGAGCGCTTGAGCACATGTGAGGCACTGGGTTCAATCCTCAGCACCACATAAAAAAATAAATAATGGTAATATGTCCATTTAAAAAAAATTTTTATTTTAAAAAAAGAATATATACAGATGGTCAATAAGCTCATGAAAAGATGCTCAACATTACTGGTCAGAAGGGAAGTGATCAGTCCACTAGGAAGAAGACAGCAATAAAAAACAGAAAATGACAAGCACTGGCAAGACTGTGGAGATTACATTCTGACCTTGCAGGTTGGAATATAAAATGATGGGATGCAGTTATTATGAACCAATTAGCACCATTTGTGCCAAAAATATTTTGGTAGTTTCTCAAAAAATCTAACTAAATGATGTGACCCAGCAATTCCATCTACCCAAAAGAACAGAAAACAGGTATTCAAACAAAAACTTCCCCTTGAACATGAAGAGCAGTTATTCAGAACATCCAGAAATTGAAAACAATCCAAATGTCCATCATCTGATGCAGGCACAAACAAAATGCAGCCTCTGCATATCACGGAATATGATTCAGACATTAAGAAGGATGAAGCCTGAGAACAGTCTGCTAAGTCAAAGATGCAAGACACAGAAAGACCACATAGTGAAACGTCTCCAATAGCCAAATACACAGAAATAGAAAGCATTAGTGGTTGCCAAGGGCTGGAGGAAAGGAGGGACGATTCAGGAGTGAATGTTTTAATATACAGTTTCCTTTTTGTATCATGAAAATAACTCTGGAATTAGACAGTTACAATGGTTGTACAACACTGTCAATATTCTCAAAATTACTGAATTGTACATTTTTATTTAATATTTTATTTTTTAGTTTTAGTTGGACACAATATCTTTATTTTTATGTGGTGCTGAGAATCGAACCCAGTGCCTCTCGCATGCCAAGCGAGTGCTACCACTTGAGCCACATCCCCAGGCCCTGAATTGCATACTTTTAATGGTTAAAATGGTAAATTTATCTTAACTAAGAAATAAGAATCACTGATGAATTTGGCTTATAATGAACAGATTGCTAGACTCTATCCCTAGAGATTCTGACTCAGGAGATCCAAGACAAGCCCAGGTATGTGGATATTTTTAAAATCTCCCCAGGAATTCTATGAACCTCTGCTTTAGCCAATTCCTCAAGTGATTCCCCTCCCCCGGCTTCCTTTCTTTCTTCTGCACCAGGGATTTAACTTAGGGGTGCTTTACCACTGAGCAACATCTCCAGCCCTTTTTCTGATTTTTTAAAAAAATTATATATATATATAATTATATAAAATTATATATATAAAATTATATAAAATAATATACATACATACATATATATATATATTTTTAAGTTATAGATGGACACAATACCTTTATTTTCATGTGGTGCTGAGGATCGAACCCAGGGTCTCATACTTGCAAGGCAAGTGCTCTAAGACTGAGCCACAATCCCAGCCCCTCCCCCACCCCTTTTTTGAGATGGGGTCTTACTTAGGTTCCTGGGGCTGGCCTTGAACTTCCTGCCTCACTCTCCTGAGTGGCTTGGGATTACAGATGTATGCCACCATGCCTAGCCTCAAGTGGGTTTTAAATTGACTGAATTGCTCAACAATTTTACTAGGTATAGGTCCTGCTAGGTATCAAGGGATACAGCCATGAATAGAGAGTCCATCATGGCCTTTACCAGGGGAGAAAAAAAAAAAAAGACATAAAATATAATCTGATTTTGAAAACTGAGGTGTAGCTCAGTGTAGAGTATTTTGCTTAGTTAGCATCTAAGAGGCTCTAACACACACATAAAAAGAAACAAACTTTCAACATATAACTCATTTTCTCTTTTTATTTTTTGCCTAATGAACTTATTGAAATGGGAGGGGTTTTATTTACTTAAATTTGAAGAAATGTTAATATTTGTGTATTTATTATATACAATCTTATTCTACATTTAACAGAGACAATTTTATTTATTTATTTATTTTTGTTGCACATGGACACAATGCCTTTATTTTGTTTATTTATTTTTATGTGGTGCTGAGGTTTGAACCCAGTGCCTCACACATGCTAGGCAAGTGCTTTACCACTGAACCATAACTCTAGCTCAACTTAGATTTTTGGCGGTGCTGGGGATTGAGCCCAGGGCTTTGTGAATGAGAGGCAAACACTCTACCAACTGAGCTGTATCCCCAGCTCCCCCCCCCCTTTTGCTTTTTTAGAGAGAGAGAGAGAGAGAGAGAGAATTTTAATATTTATTTTTCAGTGGACACAACATCTTTGTATGTGGTGCTGAGGATCGAACCGGGGCCGCACGCATGCCAGGAGAGCGCGCTACCACTTGAGCCACATCCCCAGGCCCCTTTTTATTTTTTATTTTGAGAAAAAGTCTTGCTAAGTTGCCCAGACTGGCCTTGATCTAGTGATCCTCTTGCCTCAACCTCCAAATAGCTGGGATCAGAGGTATGGGCCACTACACTGGACCTCTTCTCTATATTCACATTCCTTTGTTGCTAAACCAAGTATCACTCTGTGCCAGCTACTAATTACAATGATGGAAGTGTCCTCACTGAAGAGGTGAGTCCCCTTTACTAAATGCACATATCAGGAAAGTCAGTGCTGCTGGAAAGTGTCACCTTGTCAACGGGTTCACAATTCTACAGGTGTCCTTGGAGGGCTTGCACATGGAGGCTCCCTTTCCAGACTCCACCACTGAGCTACACCTCAGCCCTGAAAATTATTAGCCCTCAATATTACTCTTCAATACCAAAAAGTAGTAACAGATTCACCAGTTGTTAAAGCACAAATGTGCTATAAAAACAGAGATCAGCTTACCTGGGCAAAAGCCAAATTCAGCACGGTTTCGGAGGCCAAGTACTGTAACCGATACTCCTTGGAAAGGGCCAGAGCCYGCAGCAGCACAGGCATCGCAATGGTAGGGGAGGAAGATCGCCAATACAGCTCTGCCACCGAAAGCAGGACACTACAGCAAAGAGGAAAACATGGGATGAGAAGATCCACCACACCATCTCCATGAAAGGCACAAGAGACCCCTTACCTGATCACCATTTCTGTGTTCTTTAATTTCTGACAGTATGTCAACAATTTTTGTAAAAGCTTGTGTGCCTCTGACATTTGGTTCTGAGCTTGTAGTACAACTGCTTTTCTGAAACAGATTCAAAATAAACACAAGTAGTTCTACTGATGCTTGCAAGTGTTTTAACTATAACCTCTTCAGGGGTGAGACTCTATTTCCTCAGAGTGTAACCTCCCAAGGGGAAAACTGCCTATTTTAATTTTTTGTTCAAAGAAAAAATACAAACAAAAAACCCTGTATGTGTGTATAAATGTATATGTGCAAGCATATACATGTATATGCACACACATGCATGCCAGAAAAAAGTTTAGAATTACAGTTATTGCAATATTAGTGACTATCTCTGGGACATACTTACTTTCATTTTGTTTATCAATTTTTAAATTTCTGTAAAAAAGTTTTTTCTTTAACTAAAGTAAATAAATCAATACACACAGAAAACAAAACTGCAGTAAAATTAAACCATTTAAAAATTATTTTATTCTAGGATTAAAGTTTTCCAACTTTCTTACCTATATACACCTTCTATGCCATTAAGAGCTGTGATTCCTGTGACAAGTGAATCAGCCAAATGATATTTGCCATCATTCATTGCTCTGTCAAATTGTATTTTTTGATCACATAGCATCCATAACTAATAAGGAAAAATTAAGCATCAAATGACAAATGTTAACATTATTAGCCAATGAGGACACAATAGTATTTTATAAGTATTTACTTAGCAAATATCCTTACTATAATTCACATATTCCCTTTTTTGAGATTAAAGTTTTATAATATTTCAAGCTTGCATAAAAGCATGAAGAACAAAATAACAAATATTTAACAAATATAAAATAATGTGCCACCAATTAACTTTATCAACTCACATATCGCTTTTATTAGCTCACGTATTTACTCCAACACTGTGACATACTATTGGAGTTCTTTGCAAATTCCATTTTCCTCTCACTTTTTCAAGTAGCAAGCACTCAGTTCGGTGTCTGCTATTCCCATTCCTATTCTTTTATAACACATATACTTACCCTTAAACGCTCATAGTATAAGCCTGTATGTTTTTGTTTCTTTGTTTTGTGGTACCAGGGATACAACTCAGGGCCTTACGTACTGAGCCATATCCCCTGCCCTTTGTATTTTTTATTTTGAAACAGGGTCTCACTAAATTGTTCAGGTTGGCCTAGAACTTTCAATCCTCCTGCCTTAGTGCTGGAATTACAGGTGTGTGCCACCACACCTGGGGAGCCTGTATTTTTTTGAGTTTTGTACTAAAAATAAATAATATCACCCTGTATGTGTCCTTTAACAATTTCATTTTTAACTCAATATTATTTTTCTTTCTTTTTTTTTTTTTTCCTTTTAGGTACTAGTGATTGAACTCAGGGGCACTCAACCACAGAGCCATATCCCCAGCCCTATTTTGTATTTTATTTAGAGACAGAGTCCTACTCGAGTTTTTTAATGCCTCACTTTTACTGAGGCTGGCTTTGAACTCATGATCCTCCTGTCTCAGACTTCAGAGCTGCTGGGATTACAGGCATATGCCACTGCACCTGGCTCAATATCATTTTTCTGAGGGAACATTGTAAAATATCCTGCTTTTTGTTACAGTGGAAAAACATTGTTTTCAGAAGTAAACCCAAGATCATGATGGTTACCTGGGCATGTTGGGTATTAGGTGGGAATCGTTCCTTCAAGTGCTTTAACACTTCAGCAGCTGCGGCAAAACAGCCCTAAAATCAAAGGACAGGTTTTGATTCAGATGTGTTGAAACCACATCTGAACACCACAGGCAGGTCCACACGGTCCCTAACTCTTGACACAGCCAGCGAGAAGACACTAGGCAGACTGTGGAACTGCATTTCTAAGGGCTGTTCTTTTAAAGATTCTAATGAATTTCGTTCATTTTCAAAAACGTTAAGAAAATTATCATGTAAGATATGTTTTTTTCTAGGAAAAAAATTACAAAACGTGTAAATAGTAAGAAAAGAAATTACTTTTAATTCCATGAAAGCTAATCACAGTTCATGTTTTGGCATACATACCTCCTTCTAAGCTTCTTTTACTCATATACATATTAAATACATAAATATTCCAAAAATACCTATCTATACATGTTATTTTTGTCAATTATGTATAACACTACCAACATGGTAGTCACTCAATAAATAATTTTTAATAAATTAATCTTTCCAGTGTCCATAAATGAAACCTGTACCACCATAATATATTATTAAGCAAATTAATTGTGGTACATCAAAATAACCTTTTAGGTTTGGATATTTTGGTTGCTTTTAATATTTCCATTTAAAAAATATTATAATGAATATCTTGATGCCCAGTTTGCATGATGTCCAATTATTTCCTTAGAATTAAACCAGAGAAGTAGAAATGATGGGCATTTTTAAGTTCTTTGATATAGGTTAGTAATTACCCTCTACAGCCGCACCAGTATTTTTGTAGCAGCATCCTATCCCTTCTTCCCCCCTAATAGTTTTTCATCTTGGCCTGATACTGAAAACTACTATTCCATTGTTTAATTCTTCCACAACTAGGCTGAAATTGATTTTTGGTCATTTAGGCCATTTATGCTTTTTCTGTGAATACTATTCATATTATTTTTATACTCATATACTATCAAACCCCAACTCTTATTAGGTAATGCACACTTTGTAAGTGGATATTACAATAAAGATTGTTAATATTTGTTCTTATGATTTTAACTGGCCAATCTTTTGTTTTGGTAGTAACGGGGATTGAACCAGGGCTGCTCTCCCACTGAGTACAATCCCAACCAGTGTTATTTTGACACAGGGTCTCACTAAGTTGCCCAGGCTGGCTTTGAACTTGCGACCATCCTGCCTTAGCCTGTGGTGGGATGACAGATGTGCTATCACGCTGGTCTTAATTGGCCAACCTCGCCACGTATTTTCATGACTGTCACAGTGAGCTGAACATATGGATAGAGGTGAGCTGTCAACTTCAGGCCAAGCAGAGACACCTTAAATTGTATACCCAAAACACTCCCATTGTGCCCTGCTACACCCAAGGCTAAGAGAGGACCCAGAACTACTCAGAGAACACAAAAGGGGCTGGCAACCTTAGAAAAAGAACTAACTCCACTCCCTCTGGGTTGCAGCAGGGAGCTCCACGAGCAGTTCAGAGTCCCTAACTACTTTTTTTTTTTTAATATTTATTTTTTAGTTGTAGTTGGACACAATATCTTTATTTTATTTTTATGTGGTGCTGAGGATTGAACCCAAGGCCTCGCACGTGCTAGGCAAGCGCTCTACCACTGAGCCACAATCCCAGCCCCCAGAGTCCCTCATGTCTTTACAGGTTCTACCCAAGCACTGCCACACCAAAAACACAGTGCAGCATCTAGTTTATTTGGAGTTCAGTTTAAAAAGCAGACAAAGGAAGTGAAACAGAGACTCATCATAAAGCTGCCTTCTCCACAGTAGGCAAAGCTTAATTTCACAGGTGCAAGTCTAACCTGTGTAATTAAAAATGTGACAGTCATCAGCCCAGGGAGTATATTCACATGCTTCATGTTCTAAAACTAGAAAAGTCTTTCTAAAGCAGGCAGGAGAAGGGGAGAAAAGGACAAGTCTTGAAACAACACTTTAAAGGCGAATTAAATGGCACTGATCTATATCTCAATAGAGCTGTAGATAAAGTCACAGGAGGCTCATGCTAAACATCTGAGTGTTCACTGACTCCCTCATTAACAAGTGCTCCACTTACCCAGGACACAGAATGAAAAACAGTGGTACTGAAAGTTCCAATGCCATTAAGAAGGAAAAAACAAGATGTGGACATGAAACATTCCTGGGGGAAAGTGAACAGCAAGCATTGCTGGTCTGCTCTTTTGACCTGGTATTGCCCAAGATGTGTGGGCACAGGAACAGGAAGGAAGCAGTCCAAGGGCACAGTGGCATCCAAGAGCCAGAGCCCAGCTACTGAAAAGACCAAAATGTGCTCAGCAGAGGGGAAGTGTTTCCAGACTTCTGAAAGGGGTGGAAACCACCTTTCAATCTTCACACTGGGATGAAGGAATACTGAGCATTATGAAACAATCTAACAATAATGTACACCACAAAACTATCAAGAAAAATAATGTGATGTACTTACAGACATAGTATGTTCAGTGAGATGGAACATACACTAAGATGCAGATAAACAGGCTTCCCGATCTCTCTCTAATCACCCCCAAAAAATTTCACCACAGGGAAATTTGCTAGAGCAGCATGAGAGATGCTATAATTCATCCCTTTTAAAGAGAATCAAGTAAAATGAGTCAGGCTCTAAGTCAAGGTTATGCTCAATTGCTACCACTCCTCTCTGGGGTCAACCAGACTTGACTGGAGACAGGACTGACACATACTGRTATCGGACATTGAGCCAACTCTCTGGACCTCAATCTCTTGTTCTGTGAAACAGGGGTAATGATAAAGCTGACTTCATGGGCTGGGGCTGTAGCTCAGTGATAGAGTGCTAGTCTCGCATGTATGATGTACCAGGTTCAACTCTCAGCACTACATAAAAATAAATAAATGGTGTCCAGCTACAACTTAAAAAAAAAATTGCTGACCTCATGAAGCTACTAGAAGGTTCTGTAAGACAATACATAAAATAACAAAGCACTGGCCTGGCACAGAACAAATGTGAACAAACATTAGCTATTATCATTTTTAGCTATCCATTCATTAGTCTCTTCCCCTTTCATTTAAACACAAACCTGTACTTCAGATTTTTTTTWAAAAATATTTATTTATTTATTTTAGTTTTCGGCGGACACAACATCTTTGTTGGTATGTGGTGCTGAGGATCGAACCCAGGCTGCACGCATGCCAGGCGAGCGCGCTACGGCTTGAGCCACATCCTCAGCCCTGTACTTCACATTTTAATGATTCCTTTTTGTTCTATTTTTTAATGGAACTAGCCAACCTCTTACTTCCTATACCAATGTCAAAAAAAGATCCCAACTTCAACACGTCTTGTAGACTCCACCTTTAAATCTTTTTCCATAAGTGGGATTTCACTTTACTCACAACACAACGAGACCCATTCAAGACACATGCAGTGATTTTTTTAAGCACTAAGGGAGAGAAGTGGCAGATCCTCCAGTACTCCAGAAGCATACTGACCTTACCACCTGTGCTACAATATGGACGTGAAATGTCCCCCAAAGGCCTATATGTTAAGAGGCTTGGTTCCCAGCCTGTAGTGCTGCCGGGAGGTGGCAGAACCTTTAGAAAATGGAGCCTAGTGGAAGGAAGTTAGGTCATTGGAGGCATACCCCTGAATGCAACATTTGGACCCACACCCATCTGTCTCTTGGCTTCTCAGCTGCCATGAGGTAAGGTATATAGACTCCTCCGCTGTGTTTCCACCTTGATGTACAGGGCTACTACAGGCCCAAAGAAATAGGGCCAAGTGACCATGGGCTAACCTCTGATGCCATGAACCAAAATAAATCTTCCCTTCTTTTAAGTTGATTATCTCAGAGACAAAAAGCTAACCCAACCTGCCTACCTGCTCTGCGTGTAGCTCTGCAAGATGACAGAGCGCGACAGCAAAGGACTCTGTGTTGTTCTGCTGTACTCCGGAATTCACTGACTCCAGGCTGTTCATGCTCAGCAACATCTGGGCTTGCTGTAGTGCCATAGTGCTGGGTGAGGAGAGGGAACAGGATTTCCCTTCAGACAACAGGCCCAGACTACCCCTTGGCCATAACCTACAGTTATCTTAAGTGGAAATACAAGGAAATTAACCCCTCTGCAGGCTCGGGCCATGTAGAAGCAACTACCTCCCAACACCAACTCTCCGGCCCTCAAGTCAAGGAGAGCAGAAAAGTATCCTAGATGTAAGGCCCCCAGGAAATGTGGAGTGGTTACAGCAGAGCTGGGAGCTCCAAGTTCCCAGATCCCCCGCCCCCTACCTCCCCACCCTCGATTTCCCCTGAGATCACAGAATGCTAATTAGGTTTCACGGGTAAATGCAGACCCGATGCCATCCTGGCACCGGCTGCTCTGGCAATGCAAGCAGTGGCCAGTGTCGGCAGCTGTTTCAGAGCACGCCGTGCCAAAAAATTATCTGAAATACAAAAACAAGACTGGTAAAAGAGGCACTTCCTTTTATTACTGAATTCCTAGAAATAGCAGATTGTCTAGGTAAAAGGCAAGGTAGTGACAGGGCTCCAGGGTTACAATCTAGTTAAGTTTACTTCCAAGCTAAAGGTGGCTAAGTGGAAGAGGAAAAACATGAGGCTAGAAACATTCCAGACAAAACACCTTGGGTAACAGAATAGGTGCAAGGAATGAAGGATGCTCAACTTGCGGGAGGAAGGCCATGCAACCTACAAACTAGAAGAGAGGTTCTTGTTGCAAAGCAAAGGAGCAAAACGCTTGGGATCAGAAGATCTGTGTTTGAGACACTGGTCAACTACATTTGAGATCTTGGGAAAATGTGTGAACCAGAAGGAGATCACCCATCAGTTATTCACAGAGCAGTTGGCAGGAGTAAATAATGTGCATGGGGAAAAAACCTTGCAAAGGTCGTGCAAACTACAAAATGTTTTCAGATTTTAAAGCATTTTATCTAATCCCCTGCATGAACAACTTTCAAAGGTGGTTAAAAAAAACCTTGTATGTCTGGCCTTTCATAGAACCAGTGTGCTAGCTCCTGCTAACCTAGATTCCTGTGAATCTGAAGGATTCACACCACCAAGGTCTTGGCAATGTGCCTAAAAACCTACCTGCGGCCATAAAGTCTCCAGATGGCCGTTTTCTGGGCGATGCTGATATCGATGAGCTCCGACAGGCTGTGTTTCCAGTGCAGGAGGTCAGAGTCCTTTAGGGCATCCATCAGTTTGTTGGCCGTCTTCCCAGCAAAAGCTCTCTGTTGAACAAGGGACTGTATTCCCAGGGAGGCGAGGTACTAAGGGGACAGATATACCCACGACCCAAGATAGAGATTACATGACAGAATTTGCTTTGCTCTTCAGAAATGTGGTGGATTTCACATTTCAGCACATGCACAGTGATAGCTCTACTTAAAAGGAAAGTACCTACAACCTGACCTTAACCCTGACCCATGTGAGATGTGTTGCTGAAAAACTAAGGCTGGAAGAGAAGCAGAGGATACACAGGAAAGAGCCAGGGCTTTGGCATTAGGTGAACCTGGACTTAATCACTGCCTCTGCTACTTACTGTGTGACTTAGGGCCAGTCACTTAGCTTCTTAGCTAAGCCTCAGCTTCCTCATCTGTAAAATGGGCATCAAACCTATCATAAAGAATTGTTGTAAGGATTACAATGAAATAATATGTCAAACAGTGCCGGGCACATTAGGTTATAGGAGATCAAAAGAGGATGCCTATCAAGAGCAACAAATTATCTTCTCATTATCTACTAGTATAATCTTCAAGGATGAAAGCTCAACTAGAAAGAGTCAGCTTAAATCCATAGCAAAAATTGAACTTAAGAAATCTATCATTTATTTCAAGGAGCCACTTCATTTCTGAGAAGTAAATCACACGGATGATTTACAGACTTAAGAAGCATGTGCGCTAAAATGACTGCACATAACCACTTTCGTTTTTACTGAAGATTCTAAGACAGAAGCTAAAGCAGTTCTACTTCCTATGATCCAGTGTGTGGTAAATGTTTCTGAGATAGACTAAGGTTCTTTAAGCAACAGTAATCTCAACTTTCAGTCACTACTACCTCCTGGAAACAGACTATGACCTAGTAATGCCCTCAGTATAGGTCACTGAGGACTATAATTCAGGTCCTTTCCCGTCACTCAAAATGAGAAAGGACAAATTTGCCTGTCAGGTTTACTGGTTCTTGGATTTGAATATGGTTTAAAACAAGGATCAGCAAACTTGTTCTAAAGGATTAGAGAGCAAATAATTTTAAGTTTTGCAGGCCATATTTGGTTCCTCTTACGTAATTTGCTATGTCTTTTACTCCACAACCATTTAAAAATGTAAAACCCATTCTTAACTTGAAGGCAATACATAAGCAGGCAGAACACCATATCTGGCCCACCGGCTGTAAAGTTTGCCAACCCCTGGTTTAAAAATAAAGACATCCTGGACTGGGGATATTGATAAATGCTTGCCTAGCACTTGTGAGGCCCTGGGTTTGATCCCCAGCACCACTAAAAAACACCTTTCCTAAAAATCTTCCTAAGTGTCTAGGTGCTAAGTAAATGTTGCTCAATAAACTAAACAAAGATCTCTTAACAAAGCAATAGAGCTTCCACAGATGATGTTAATAAAAGGAACAGAGAGAAACCTACCAAACAGAATTTAGTAGTTTGATTAATAGTTAAAGTCAGAGAAACTACCACACGTCATAATACCCGTCCTAACCCTATCACTGGTTCATGACAAAGGTGGGTGGAAAAGAGACAAAGGCTCAACACCACTTATTTAAACAATCTCACAGAAAGATGAGCCTTACCGGTAACCCAAAATGTACTGCTTTCTTCACAGAATGCTCCAGCAGAACATAGCTATCGGATCTCTTCTGCCCCAGCACATAAAGCCAGCTCTGGCAAGAGACAATCACCAAATTATATCATAACATGGCTAATGTTCTAGTGAAATATCAATATGGTCACAAGAATTAAAAAGGGAAAAAATAACCCCTCTAAAATACTATCACAAATTATTATCCTAAATGAAACCTATCAAACTGAAATAAACAAGTCACAGCTTCCTTTGATAGTGGCTGAGTGGCAGGTGTTTCAGAGAAAAGCACAAAGCCCCCAAGTGGCCTTTGAGAAATGAGATTCTCAGGTGATCCTCAAATGACTTCTGCTATTCTAGCTGTATTTCATGATTATATTTACAGAAATGTCTCACCCAGTTACTAGGTGTAATATACATCTTTTTGTTAATGCCAACATTAAATGTTAATGCCAACATTAAATGTGATAGTTGATATTTACTTTTATTATGGTAAGTTGCATTAAAATGTGAAGACAGGAAATGCCCCCAAAGCAGAAAAGGTAAACAAACATGGGTTGCCCTTTCTGAACCTCCCACCACCAAAGAAGTTTCCCTTCATTACTGAAGAACTTTGCTCCAACTGCAAAACAACTTGGTTCAAAAGAGGCCTTTGGAAGGCCACCTCGACCCATGAACAAAATCCCAAGACCAGAGGACGGCCTCACCAAACAGTGCTGGAGACACACGTGATCGTTGGACTCCTGGGCAATCCTAATTGCCTCCTGCAGGGCGAGCTCTGCCTGTTGACTAATGACAGACTAAACATTAATAACCATTAACAATTACAAATATGTGCAAACATCGGTAGCAGGAAGTCATCTGTACACAAGTCACTGGAGAGCAGGACTCTGGGCTGGAAGTTATGACTATTTACGGTTGGTTCTCTCAGAGGCGTGCCCCAACCTCTGCAGCAGGAAACACCAACAGCAGAGATACAAAACATGTGCCTTCTAAAGTGAATGTCTACTAAAAAGGGAATGAAGGGATGGCTTTTATGTCTGTTTCTGAGATGTTTCAGTTGTCAGCCACTGAGAGGAGAGGCAAGGAGAGGGGTAATATTTTACTTTTCACTGCATTCCTTTCTGCATTGTTTGATTTTTTTTAATATGTCCATTTGTTGCTTTATTTTTTCTTCAAAATTAGTTTTTAAAAGTGTTTTGAGGAKTCCCCCCACTTTTCTTTTTTTTAATTGTTGATAGGCTGTTTATTTTATTATTTATTTATATACGGTGCTGAGAATGGAACCCTCAGACATGCTAGGTAACAACTCTACCACTGAGCCACAACCGTAGCCCGAAGATTCTTTTCCATGAACGTCCCTGCCAAGTCTGGAATGTCTCTTCCATCCTCTCAATTTCTGTGGACGTCTAGCCAGCTATTCTCAGCTCTGCTGAGCACTCACTTCTGGAAACACCCTGTGTGTTTCATTAAATATTACTATGTACTACCTTCTACTTACTAAACCTGTATTAATTTTATTTCATCAACCACTTTATAAACCTCTAGATGGTAAAAGCCACATCTTAAATTTTGGCCTTCCCAATGGCAAATTAACAGAATAGAAGCTTTAAAAACACCAGGTTACTAAAGATCTAAAAATAGGACCAGAAATTCTTGGGTGTCACTTACTTAAGGAAAAACATACACAATAAATTTTCTTCCAACATTAGCAATAGCTTCACATGAGTAATCTGAATTGGGTAGTGCTGGAATTTTTTTTTTCCTCAATAATTGTTTGTTCAAATAAAGAAACCAAGCAAGGGCCAGTGGCACATGCCTATAATCCCAATGACTGAGGAGGCTAAGGCAGGAGGATTGCAAATTTGAGACCAACCTGGGAAACTTAAAGACACCCTGTCTCAAAAAAAAAAAAAAAGAGGAGCTAGGCATAGTGGCACACATCTGAAAGAGGCTGAGATAGGAGAATCACGAGTTTAAAGCCAGCCTCAGCAATGGTGAGGCGCTACACAACTCAGTGAGACCCTGTCTCTAAATGAAATACAAAACAAGAGATGGGGATGTGGCTCAGTGGTTGAGTACCCTTGAGTTCAATCCCCAGTACCAAAGGAAAAAAGAGGAAACCAGATACATTTTACCTACTTTGCCCTTCTTTTAAATCCCTTTTAATGTTGCTCTAGAACATAAGCTATTTAAAGGCAAGAAGCATAACTGCACATATAAGTCCTTCACAAATATCAGTTGATTTAACTTCATGGAAAATTGATAATCAAATAATGTTATGCTTAGGGGGTGAAAACACTTTAGGAGAATTATATAGTATTCTAAAACTGGCCTAAAAAGAGATATTTTTTCCAAGACAGGAAGAAAATGTAGATTTACAACACAGAAATGTCAAGAAAGTCAAGACAAATCCTAAAGGGATCTTCTTGTTTTCCATTTCGGTTAATCAAAAAATCCTAATAAGAGTTTTCAGTGAAAGAGAAGAGACAAATTGGTTACAATATCTGAAATGAATGAGGTGTCTGCTATTTTCCAAATGCCAGAGCAGACAGGTCTGTAGCCTCTGAACAAGGGCTTTCTGTGTCACTTAGAGTTAAAGCCAAAGTCCTCACCTGGCTTCTAGGACTGCTCTGATCCTGCCAGCTCCCTAAACATATTCCCCTCCTCCTCACTTACAGGATTCCAACCACACTGTTTGCTCCTCAAATGTGCCACATAAACCCTGCCTCAGGGCCTTTACACATGCTCTTCTCACTGACATGAACATTATCTCCACCACAGAGCATTCTACTCCCATAAATCCTTTAAACCTCTGTTCAAATGTTAGGTCAGCAGAGATCAGAGAAAGCTGAGCTGCTACCTGTTTATAGTGTCCATCTCCTTCATAAGCTCCACAACAGGTTGGTTAGTTTCTCACTTCTATATCCCTAGGAGCTGAACTGTGCCTAGTGCATGGTAGATGCTCCACAAATAAAGATCAAGATTTTCAAGAAATCTCCACAATTCTTTTAGTCAAGTGACACAGATTTATACAGGACCATAGATACAGGAAGGGGGGGGGGATGCCTGGACATGAGTAAATTGAGAAGAATGACACATTAATAAAAACCCTCTGCCAGGCATGGTGACACACGCCTGTAATCCCAGCGGCTCAGGAAGATCTTGAGTTCAAAGCCAGCCTCAGCAAAAGCGAGGTGGTACGCAACTCAGTGAGACCCTGTCTCTAAATAACACACGAAATAGGGCTGGGGTGTGGCTCAGTGGTTGAGTACTCCTAAATCCAATCCCCGGTACCCACCCCCAATAAATAAATAAATAAATCCTTCCTTTTCTCACTTGGATTCATCCAATTTTAGCTGTCTATCCACTGACAATATTGTAAACACAAAGAAATTCTGCAGACCAAAAGTTTATTTGTATCTAAGAGGCTGTATACAAACTTTTAAAAAAAATTTTTAGTTGTTGATGGACCTTTATTTTATTCATTTATTTATATGTGGTGCTGAGAATTGAATCCAGTGCCTCACACATGCAAGGTCAAGTGCTCTACCACTGAGCCACAACCCCAGCCCTGTATACAAATTTCTGAACACCAGTGAAAGCTTTATGTATTTATTTTTGGATACTGGGGATTAAACTCAGAAATGATTTACAGCTAAGCTACATTATCAGCCCTTTTTTATTTTAAAACAGGATCACACTAAACTGCTAAGGGTCTTTGTCAGTAGTCAATTTGAATTTTCCTGCTTGAGTCTCCCAAGTCACTGGGATTACAGACATGATGCATGTGGCAGGAAAGCAGTTTTTAACACAAGTTACTGGTGCCAAGTGTAGTGGCACTTGTCTGTAATCTCAGTAGCTTGGGAGCAGGCTGATAAAGGAGGACCATAAGTTTGAGGCCAGCTTTAGCCACTTAGTAAAAATYTGTCTCAAAAAAGAAAAAGGCCTGGGGCTGGTAGAGTGCCTGCCTCACACGTGTGAGGCACTGAGTTCGATAATCAGCACCACATAAAAATAAATAAAGATATTGGGAAAAAAAAAAGAAAAAAGAAAAAGACTAGAGATGTGGCTCAGTGTTAAGTACCCCTAGGTTCAATCTCTACAAACCTCCCCCAACCAAAAAAAAAAAAAAAAAGCAAGAAAGAAATTATTGGCAAATATTACAAATGGTATTACTATTATTTATGAATATATAAAATAATGATGGGCTGGGGATGTGGCTTAAGCAGTAGCGCGCTCGCCTGGCATGCGTGCGGCCCGGGTTCGATCCTCAGCAGCACCACATACCAACAAAGATGTTGTGTCCGCCGAGAACTAAAAAAAAATTAAAAAAAATAAAAAATAAAAAAATAATGAAAGGTCCTTGCTGCAGGAATGTACCTCAGTGGTAGAGGGAGTGCCATCACACATAGGACACTAAGGGTTCTATCCTCAGCACCACAAAAAAGAAAATACAAGACAGACCTTAATCAAGTGGTTATTAAAGCTAGGCAAAGAAAAATTAGTTATTATAAAGTATTATGGAATGTCACAAAATCAGGGAGTTTGGAGTATCCTAAACATTTCCAAGTATCAATCTGCTGTTTGAATTCCCTTGATGACATTCCTGGCCTAAGCCTGAGTACCCCACTAACACCTTTATCAGGAAGTTCTATATAGAGAAATTTGCACCCCCTCCATTGTGGGAACTAAAATCAAGGCCTCACACATGGTAGGCAAGTATTCAATCACTGAGCTATAYACCCAGCCCCTTTTCATTTTTTGAGCCAAGGTCTCACTCAGCCTCTCAAGTAGCTGGAACCACTGCACCTGGCATCTACATAAAATGAAGCACTACACCCTTACCTGGTGCTCATCCCCTCTCAACCTTATCTGGCAGCCATATCTCAATCAATCCAAATCTTTTTCACATGACCTTTCACTACCTGAAGATGTTAACAGATACTTGGCTAACATGTTCTCCAGGCTAAATGTTCTTACATCCTTCCCACGTTATTCATGTGTCCTAGCTTTTAAGACTGTCCCCCACACAAGCTCCAGCTTGTCTACATCTCCTTTGAAACCTGACAACCAGGAAGGACATGGTGGCATGTGTCTGTAATCTCAGGTTTGAGACCAGCCTGGGAAACTCAGCAAGACCCTACCAAAAAATAAAAAAGTTTGAAAGACCTGGGGATGTAGCTTAGTGGTAGAGTGCCCTGGGTTCAGACCCCAGTACCAAAAAATAAAACAAAATCTAACAACCAGAAATTAACAGAATTCCCTGGGTGCTTCCTGGTACTTCTTTATTCTTGAACTTTGAATACCATTCTTCTATTAACACACCCTAATGTCTCTAATCAAAGATGTCTATAGCAGAGATGTACTGGGGATGAATCCCGGGGTGTTCAACCACTGAGCCACATCCCCAGCCCTATTTTATATTTTATTTAGAACTAAGGTCTCCCTGAGTTACTCAGGTCCTCGCTAAGTTGCTGAGGCTGGCTTAAAACTCACAATCCTCTTGCCTCAGCTTCCCAAACTGCTGGAATTACAGGCATATACCACCATGAGCAGCAACAGTTTTGTTAAATAGTAAAAAGTCACAGGGTGGGGTGTATGGGACAATATAACTCATTCAATTAGTAATTTCCTACATTTCACCATTATTCACATCATTTCCTCATTTCCAAAACAGCCTCTGGTGAGTTATTGAAATCTAACTCTATTTACTAAATAATAATTTATTTCCCTATTTTTATACATTAAAAATACAGGTATAGCTTAGCAATAAAATAAACCAGTGTCACCTTACTGGCTGCCTGAACTCCATCCAGAAGCAAACATGTGGCTTTTAGCAAGCATGTGCAGTCTTTATTCCAATAGAGGAAAAACTTCCTTTTCATTTTTTTTTTGGTGCTGTCTGAAACAATTTTTACTTATTTTTACTTAATTCATTTTTGAAAATACTAAAAATGGCTTTTAAAGTCCCATTATTACCTCCAAAAATCCCTGCAGGGGATTTCTGGCCTAATTGCCTAATTTCTTTTTCACTGAATGGCTGTGCTGTTTCTTGGAAGTAATGAATCCAGAGGCCTGGCACTAAGACAGTAATGCTAAATTGTGACACCAGGGGGCGGACTACTTAGGTAAAAGGCTTTCATTAACCTGTGTCAGTGCAAAAAGGTCTATTCACTCTTTGAAGTCAGTGAAAAATTAAGTTGAAGACTCTCTTTTCTTATTTTTAAAAAATRCAATATTTTTTAAAAGCACATCTCAATTAACATCGTTTTTTCAATGTCTGCATGGAAAAAAATCTATAAACTTACTAGTGACCGAAGCGGCAGTGCAAAGCAGCCAGGTTCAGAGCAGCATATCTCAAGCTCCGGCCATAGCCCTCTTCCCCGTTACTCTTACTTTCAGCTCCGGTGAGAATCAGGCGGTCAAAATAATGAAGGAGGCTGTGTGTTGAGCTGAAAACATCCTGGACGCGGAGGTTGTTCAAGTAGCTAAGGTAATGCTGAAACAGAAAATAATCCACATTTTTTTTTTAATATTTATTTTTTAGTTGTAGTTGAACACAACACCTTTATTTCACTTGTTTATTTTTGTATGTGGTGCTGAGGATCGAACCCAGGGTCTTGCACAGGCAAGGCGAGCGCTCTACTGCTGAGCCAAATCCCCAGCCCCTCCACATTTTTTAAAAAGTTGCTCT